ACCATAATAAATAAGTTATTTATCGAGTGGCTTTCAATGTTATTTAAAATAACATTGAAAGCCACTCAACTAAGTGGAAATAATATGACGTAAAGAATACAGAGAATAATTTTGTTTACATATTTATGAAAATAAAATAACATAAATTATAAAATAACATAAAATACATAAAAGTAAATTTACTTTTCTGAGAATGTTTAGGCCAGCAGAGAAGGCCTTGCTGGCCCTCAGGGTCCGCCACTGACATTTCTAATGATTTCTAGATCTTAAGTTGTTTTATTAAAGACACATACATAGATTCACTTAGATTTGTAAGTTGCACCTGTAATTGAAAAAAAGTGATTTGTTTGCAATGTTTTTGTTCTGAAATTTTGGATTGCCCACACGATTTGCAACAAGATAGTAAACATTTAATGAGTGTGCAAATACACTGGACCAGCCCACTTGAGATCAAATTGGGGTGAACGTAGCCATTGAACTAAAATGAGTTTGACACTCCTGGTCTACATCAATTAGTTGCATGTGAAAGTCACAGGTATTGGGAACCACGTAGGCTGAGTTGTACAGTTCTTTACCACTGCAAACTACAACCACAATAATCAACATTTTCTGGAACTAATCCCTTCAACAGAGCCAGTCACTAAATCAGTAGGGAGAATATTTGTTACAGATTGGTTATATGTAAAATGGGCAAGTGATAAGAATGTTGTTGCAGGTTAGTGTATGATCCATGATCAAACTGGATGTTACTCAAGAACGAGTGATCTGTGACTCAAAAATATTTGACGTCTGTTGCAAATGATTCAGCATGAGAAACCGTCACAACATTTCGATATCGATTTCCACATGGGGCAAAGAACGAACACAAAATATTACTTTCCTGATGTTTGGAAATTATGTCGCCGAGTACAATAATGAACTTTAATACCGACCCTGAAGAGTGATTCGTTCCCTGATTCAATGTTTACCAGCAGGTGGAGACACTGTCATGTTTTCAGTTTGCAC